CATGTTGCTGCTGATCAGTTTCATGTTGCTGCTGATCAGTTTCATGTCGCTGCTGATCAGTTTCATGTTGCTGCTGATCTGTTTCATGTTGCTGTGTTCATGCATGCTCATCTGTTCACACAGACTCATGTCCGTGCTGCTGTTCTGCGTATTGTGTTTAATGTTTTTATGCTATTAGAGCTTATCATATTTTTAGTTGATGTTTTTCTTAGTTCATATCTTAGATCTTATTACTGTTTTTCTTTTATATTTTATTGTTGGATGTAACTGGGACCCTGTGAACATAATTTTGATCCACCACATGTACCACATGTGGTGCGAATGACAATAAAGAATATCTGCATCTGTATAATACTTTCTGATTCATATATCTATTATTATTATTATTATTTTCATTATTTTTAAATCAATTTATTTTTCATTTTCTTATTTGATCAGTTTCTTATTATTAATATATCTATTATAGCTGTTAGCAGCACCTTTCTTTGTTTTATGCATTTATTCAAAAACAGTATGTAGCTTGAATTAACCAACTTTTTCTTCTTTCTAGTGAAGAGAAAGAGAAAAGAGTCCAGTAAAGAAAAGTCTTATTTCATCACTGAATGAACATGAAGAACTGAACCGGACACAGCAGGAACAACACTTGTGTCTTCTTCTGGATGAAGCCCGTGAGACAAGGGACAGACAGATACACAATCATTAGTTGGACGCAGTAGTTTTTATTTTTGTACATTTTTCACTTCTTACTTTTCCTATTAAACAATTTTTTTCTTAAGTGGTGTCCTTGAACTTTAAATTTCCTAAACAAATTTTACAATGTTAAGTTCATATAGTGTTTGTTTAAATTCATACTGGAAGTTGAAAAGAATTTCCAATTGCATTTGATCTTTAATGGATCCTAAGAAAAGATTACCAGAATCTGCTCAACTGTTATGTTATAAATGTTTTGGTTCTAGGATGAAGTGAGACAAAAACAGTCAAAAATTCAGAAAAGACAGTTATCGGTTATCATTTATCATTTATCGGCCTTTACAACTGTGGCCCGAGAGATTCAGCTGAAAGTCCTGGTGCACCTTTTATTTGAACCTGCAGAGATTTGAACAGCTGATCTGAAGCAAACAGGCAGGAGTTCAACTGAACTGACCACTCCTGCTGTTTGATGGTCTCCTCCTTCACCATCCATCCATCCATCCATCCGTCCATCCGTCCATCCATCCATCCATCCATCCATCCATCATCTTCTGCTTCAGGGTTGTGTGGGCAGCAGCTTCACCAGGGAGGCACAGACATGAACAGCCTCCTCTTCAACTCTTCTAGGACGCCATGGTGTTCACAGACCAACTGACTATTTATTAAGTAATATCCTGATGCTGCTCAATAATCCAGGTCGAAAAATCTAAAAAGTTAAGGCTGGTCCTCTGGACATTCACAAAACAAACAATACAGTTTATAATAAATAAACAATAAATGTTTTTTGTTTGTTTTGTTTTTTGAATATCCAGAGGACCAGACTTAACTTTTTTAGATTAATAAGTAATAAATTTATGTTTTTAAATTTAATGAAAGACAAATCTTTAAAATTCAAGGACAAAATTTAACCTAATTGTTTTCAAGTCTGTATCTTCTTGTAAAAGCAGTTTCAAACATTACAGCACAGTGTGATGTTTTGCAATTTTAACATGAACCTTGTGCATATCTGTAAATAATAAAAGTGAAGATATTTTTAATACAACTTTATTGTAAAAATCTATACTAAAATGAAAAACACATGGGTTTAAAGCAGGTAGGGAAGGCAGTAAGGTAGGATTATGAATCAGGTTTAAAAGTTACAGCTCATGAGGTACTCCATTAGAGCATGACATCTCTTCCACAACATCTTGAGACAAAGTTTTCAGGGTGTTCTTCTTCTAATACGTTTAGTGGTGGCTAGTAAGTAGCTTAAGGGAGCACTACCGCCACCAGGTGGTAAGACGAATTGGATTCTAGTCCCCGCCTACAGAGCTGGTCCAGAAATGTACATGGAAACACAACAGACCCGAGCCGATCTGAACCGACCCGAACTGATCTGATCCGCTCTGTGACAGTGGAAAAGGGGCATAAGTATTTTATATGTGTGTGTGTGTTTAATTGCTCTTTTAGCTACTTTTGCCTGAACCTAACACTGTAAGAGAAACACAGCATTTCTTGAGTTGCTGTAATAATTATGCTATAAAATATATTTACTCTCTCATTCCAGAAAACAACAACAACAACAACAACAACAACAACAACAACAACAACAAAAGCCTTCATGATGGACAGACATCATGGACACCACAGCAGCAGCTGTCTTCACTGAAAACATCTTTAAATGATCGTCACTGACATGAGGCCTCTGTCGATGGTTGAAGACGAAGGCTTCACTACAATAATCCACACTTTTAATCCAGGTTACAATAATCCACACTTTTAATCCAGGTTACACTCTTCCCTCAAGGACACATTTTACAAAGTAGCTACATACTGTGCAGGTATAAAGATACATTTGTATATATTTTTGTGTACATTTATTTTTTAAGCTATTTGACTAACTTTTATTTTTTTATTATTCGATATTTTACTAACACAATAGTCAAATAGCAACCTGTTTTTTGTGTGAATTGCTATGTCAGTCAAATGTTCAATTTTGGAATAAAGGGGTGGAAATTAAAACGTTGGGTTTTTTTTTGCCAATTCATCGATTAATCGAAAAAATAATCGTCCGATGAATCGATTATTGAAATAATCGTTAGTTGCAGCCCTATTTCAGATTCATTGCACACCAACTGAAATATTTCAGGTCTTTAATTGTTTTAATACTGATGACTATGGCATACAGCTCATGAAAACCCAAAATGCTTGTCCCAAAAAATTAGCATATCATGAAAAGGTTCTCTAAACAAGCTATTAACCTAACCATCTGAATCAACGACGCAACTCTAAACACCTGCAAAAGATTCCTGAGGCTTTTAAAAACTCCCAGCCTTGTTCATTACTCAAAACCGCAATCATGGGTAAGACTGCCGACCTGACTGCTGTCCAGAAGGCCATCATTGACACCCTCAAGCAAGAGGGTAAGACACAGAAAGAAATTGCTGAACGAATAGGCTGTTCCCAGAGTGCTGTATCAAGGCACCTCAGTGGGAAGTCTGTGGGAAGGGAAAAGTGTGGCAGAAAACGCTGCACAACGAGAAGAGGTGAC